CATGATTTTCTGTTGGGGCACGATGCATGCTGTTGATGTTAGATCGTTCGTTCGATTGAGAAAATGGGTGCGTACGAGAGGTAATGGTGTTGTGTTTGGGGGGGGTCAGGGCGAAAGGAATCCCGCTACGCGGGCCCTCTTGTGTTTGTCAGGGCGTTGTTGGTTGTCGTTTTTTCCCCCGCTGGGTACCCTCCCACCCACCTACCCCCCGCCCCTACCGGGACCGCCTTTCGCGACAAATTGAAGTTTATGAGGAAATAGAGCAGGGAGGGGCTACCCAGACCCTATCTATAACCCTAACCCCAACTTTGCCAATTTCATGCTTTATCCAACATGTTTACTAAATCGGAAACACTCGTGATGGCTGCTGCCCTCGCCTTCGCCGAAACAACGCAGAGAGTAAAGCAGTGCCAGACACGGCTGGAGGAGGGTGCTCTGACGAAGCTGATGCTCCAGCTGGTGGACATGGACCCGGACATCGTGCTGCCGTCCCTGCGTTTCCTGCGGTTCCAGGTACGAAACTGCTGCTGTTGTTGCTGTTGTTGCTGTTGTTTGGTTGCTTATACCACTTGTGGGTGAGAGATGACAGCGGCAAAACCAAGGTCGTGTGTTTTGCTGTTGTTGCTGTTGTTGCTTGCAGGAAAGCGTCGGTGGCTCTGTGCTTGCCGCGTTGGTTGTTGTTCTCTGCTGTAAGATGATCAACCATGCGATTTGTTCTTCGTCCATCGTCTGTTCAACACCTTGCGGTTTGTCTGCTTTGGACTTTCCCGGCCCTCTTTTCGTGACAAAGGTAATGGACGGGTAGGTTATTTGTCCGTTTGCCATTGATTTGCGATTGATGTTGATCGTGCTAAGGATGACAATGCCGACGACGGTTGGAAACCACGTATATTTTTCAAAATGCCGTATGTGACGGTGTGTGTCAATCCCTTCCCCAGGCCGAGTTTGAAAGGTAGCTCGATTGCTTTACAAGAGAAGAAGCGCCGCCGCCGCCGAACAGAGCAACGGTATAGAAAGTTCCTGTCGAAAGCTTAAGCTTCAGAATTCAGAACGTTCGGCAATGGCACCCAAGGAGCAACCCAGCGTTGAAAACCGAGGGACTAATATATAGTACCGTGTGGTACCGAATACTTGCCTTGTCAGCCCTCGGTACTGCTGTCCCAAGCCCCCCCCCCCCCCCCCCCCCCCCCCCCCCCCCCCCNCCCCCCCCCCCCCCGTGCGGTTTATCTCACGGGCGACTCCTTCACGCTGGCAGCAAGGGACCCGCTCCAGCACAACCCATGCCCCCTCCCTCTCACCACAATCTTGTTTCCCTCCGCACCCTTCCACCCGACGTATCCCCTCCGTATCCCCCCGCGCCGTCCGACCTACCGCCCCCCCTCCCTTGCTTGTTACCTTTTGCTGTTGTCATGTTGCCCAGGCATCCCGCTTAATCAAGCACGCCTCGATAGGCCGCGGGATCACGAGGAACGCGATGGGGGAGCCGTTGCCACCGCTGCCGATGCCCCCGCCGCCTAGGTTCGCCATGTTGCCGGCACATCTCATGGAGGTATGTACGTATCATGAGCATACAGCAGTAGTCCCCGCTTTAGGCAACAACCAACCAATGTTGCGTTTGAGGACAACAGATGTTGCTTTGAGGACAACCAATATTGCTTTGAGGGCAACCAGTGTTGCTTTTGAAGGCAACCAAGGTTGCTTTGAGGACAACCAATGTTGCCGGCACAGCTCATGGAGGTATGTACCCATGAGCTTGCAGAGATCTCCTTCACACTGGGTCCTGCTTTAGCATCTCCCCCAACGTCGAGGACGATTCCCTATTGTCACAAGCGTACGTGTGAGTATCTGCAAGCAACCTTATACGATGTTGTATGTGTTGGGTGCCCTGTCCCTAAAGGCGTACCGCAAGAGGTGGAGAGATGGCACCCCCCCTAGGTCGAGGTTAAAAAGCTCGATTGCCCCACGACCAAGATTGTCTGTACCGTACCGTATCCCGTACCGTGGTATTCCGTAAGAGTCGGAGAGGTGGCACCCCCCCCTAGACCGACTTCCAAAGCCCAATTGCTCCACACCCAACCACACCCAAGCGGGGTGTGGGAAGAGTCCGATATGTCTACGCAAAAGCCCTCGACGAGTTGTTTCCACAACCATCGTTTTGGTGTTGGCACAATCTTGTTTATGGAGCAATCGAGTGTTTGAAAATCAATCCGGGGGGGTGCCATCTCCCCGCCTCTTACGGTAAAAGGCTGACGACACCCAAGCACCTTATTGCGGCATTCTTATGGGCGAGGCCCATAGTCTGAGAATTTCGGCCCCCTTCCTTCTTTATATCTATATATATATAGATATATTTTAGCTGTTGATATGGACCCACCTTATTTTGTCAGCCGGTTAGCGCGGTTGATGCTAGTGATCGAGACGCACACACACAGGGACCCCAGATCTTGGGCTGTTGAAGCATATTCTGTTTCTAGCCGCACTGAAACTGCTATATAGTGTTCGTCCCATCTGTTCCGGCGTCGGCTTACAGGCCTTTCTGCGTACAGTAGATGTCCCTATTTAGTGCCGGGGTGTGCGCCGAAATTTCACCGGCACTAAACCGGACACCGGCACTATTCGAAGTACTGAACGACTTGGTATTCCAGTGTGTGCGAGCCGAAAACACCGAGACTATAACGGCAACCGGCACTTTTCAACCGGCACTAAACAGGGACCTCTACTGTATATACCTGGCGTATCAACCGGGGGTCACGCAAGAGGAAGGTCGCACAAGAGGAAGGTCGCACAGGAGCTTTTTTCATATTTTTTGTTTGTGAAACTGACGTTTTTTGATTGGCCAGTCGTTACCGCGGTCGACGATGCTACCAATCAATAATGAAACGCACACACAGCCCTCCCCCGTCACTGAGCCCCCCCCTCCGATGTGACCCCCGTTGGGTCGTCTAGCTGGTAGAAGTGGAGGATAGGGGCCAGAGGGGCAGACGACAGAATCCAATGATGGGAGAAAAACAGAACACACACACACATACACACATCCGAAGGATAGTTTAGCCTCCCCCATGCTGCCCCCTCACGGGGTCCCATTTCATGGCAGATGAAAGTGTTTTGTGTTTTCAACCGCACTGAGACTGACGTCTTTTCATTAGTCAGCCGGTTAGCGCGGTCGATGCTAATAATAAACACACACAAACACATACACACAGCCCTCCCCCGTCACTGAAGCCCCCCCAGGTCATGACCTTTAAGAAGCGTTTCCCCTTTTTCTAGCCGCACTGTAACCGACGTCTTTCTTTCGTAGTCTCGTGCTAGCTAGCCTTCCTGAGAATTGACCTTTATTATTGTCTCGTTTTTGCGTTCTAGTCTCACTGAGACTGGCGCGTTTTTATCTTTTTTCTTTTATCTCTTGTTTCCGTTGCTAGCCTTACTGGGATCGACATCTTTGTTTTTTTGTCTCGTTTTCTAGCCTCACGGAGACTGATGTCTTTTTTTTCTCTCGTGNCCCCCGCCCCCGCCCCCCCCCCCCAAGGACGTGAGCGACATGATAAAATTCGCCGCGTACACGTGCCCGCCCGACTCCCGGTCAGGGCTAACGCCCTTGGAGCTCATCTCCCCGATCGAGGCGTCCGGGATACTGTCGTTCCTTGTGCTCTTCATTGGCACATCGGGGTGAGAGGGTATAGCGGTAGTCCCGGTATGCTGCTAGGTGCCAGCCCCTTGGGTGTGGAGAGAGAGCTGGAACAGGGGCGAGGGGGTGCGGCAGTAGTGGTCCCCGTATGTATAATGCCGTGTTGTAGGTGCCAGCCCCTTGATAGTGGGCAACCGGCATTGTCCAGGGTATGAAACGAGTTGAATATTATTAAAATTCCACCTGTGTCACGCGATTTCACCGGCATCGTACAGGGTAACCGTCATCATACCCCCGGGACCTGTATTGCTTGTCTGTCGCCCGGTTTTTCACGCGATTCCTTCGGAGTGGGCTGACTCATGAGAGCACAGCAGTGTTGTGAAGAGCGGTGATGTTGTTGTTGTTGTCTTCACACTTAAAACCGTTCCGGTCTCCGCTCAGTACCTTCTTATGTCCGTACTGGTCCAACTGACGCGGGCGCCTTCCGTGGTCACAAGCCAACTGCCCCCAAAGGGGGGGTACACCTTCTAAAAATAAAAATGGACAACAGAAAAAATTCCTCCAAGGCGCGATTTGTTTTACTGCCCAAACAAATGCAAGATGGAAACATGAGCAGACAGCAAGATCAACCCACGGCTGGCTGCCAGCTTATGTGTTTTTTGACTCGAGCAGCCCAGCGAGCATCAACAAATCAACAAGAAAAAAATTGCAAATCTGTCTGCAGTCTTGTTTGGGACGAAGGTTGCGGGGTGGAAGGTCGTTTCGTATGCCTTACGATGACGATGTTTGTTGCAGGGAGATCTGGGTCAACATTCTGGGACAATGCATTCCGGTCATGTAGGCTATGGCGGTGTGGAGCACGCTACAAGTATCGGCAGCACAACTACGCCAGCTTTCCTATGACAGCTGGGACGAGTTTTTAGGGCGTCTGATGAGCAAACTTATTTCTCTTTCTTATTCCCCCCAGTCTGACGGAGGACCCGCTCACCAATAACAAAAAAATGCAAAAAATTCCTGAGCTTTCTTCCT